AATAGTTATGATTCTATTCTCACATTTTGTAATGCTCTTAATAAATAATTCATATACTTCATATATTTGACTTTTAAAGTAAAATCTGAGCTTGTATTAAAGAGTTTCTCTAAGTGCAATGATCACTTCAGTGATTTGAAGTTGTCATGGTGCTTGGAGTCTATATTTGCAGTGTTTAGCTAGAAAACCCTGGAAATACATAATTTAACCACTTTAATGCAGAAAGTGTAACTCTACCATCGGTAATGTCATTATGGCCAGCCCGGAACAAGCACAAAATGCAGATGACAGGCATAACATGGTGGCACAACTCCCCTGTACCTGACAGAGGAGGATGGGGTTGCCGGGAGAACTTGGCCTCGGTGATGGAAAGGCTGGAGTAAACCTTAAAGCCTCCCGAGTTTGGCTAATAACATAGACTGTGATAAATTTATGTACCAAGTAGGATCCCATTTTGCCTTAATTTTCCTTTGCCTATAAATTTAGTTATTCAAGACATTAATTCAGTAAGTTGCTTTAAATATTGCTAGAAGAGTTAAGTTCTTGCTGACTTGATCTCATATCACTTGACCACACATTACAGAGGTACAGCACAACATGATACCTACTTTAGGAAATAGGAAATGAATATTACTAATGAAATCCATTTTTAAAATTGTCAGAAACAGACCATAACATGACAGGCCATATTTTGCCAAAATAAAATTTTCCATACCATTAAACCACTAGCCAGAGACCCAAGGTAGGTAGATCCATTGGCCATCACGGACAATTATAAGATGCTAATGGAAACCTGCACATTGCAAGAATTTTTTTTGCCATATTTCTTATGCTGTAGTTTAGAATCTAGATTCTAGATGATTTAAAATAGTCTACACAACTACATATTTTTGGAAATGCAAATGGTTTAACTTGTGGACTTAATGTGTATCATTGGGTTGCTAATCAGACAAGACTTGTTTCCAATGTTGTCAGTAGCTTTCACTGACAAGTTGGTTATTGCTAAAATGGCTAATCACAAACACTAGTGAGTGGTTCCTCTTTCAGTACTGAGAAATCCTACTATTAGTTACTCATAATTCCTGCCTGACGCTAGAAAAGTTGCTCTCTTCTTTGTACTATTGCTAGCTACCAGATATAAATCCTGCTGCTGCTTGGTGTAAAGAGACAATATCAAGTTAACAATACCAATATATCTATAGAGAGAGCCAATTGTCATTCTCAAACGGAGCTGATTGGTTCTCTTTATTAATAAAATGATAAACACGTCTTTCAGCCCATGGGCTGCAGGTTGAAGAGTATTCACATGGGGATCAGGAGAAAGCCAGATTGGGCCTTTAATGTCCAGTTTCCAGGCACTAAGGGAATAAGCTGTTTAGTGTCAAAATTGGCCTGAAGATGGCCAGTCTCCTGCCATTTTACTGCCAAAGGGTGATGCCCGATCCCTTTGTCCCATAATATGAATGATATTTATTTTTACTTTATTTTCTATGAATTACCTGACAGTCTACACCCCCTCCATCTTTTTTGACATCATTTGATGAAACAAGTGTTTTCAGGCAGGCAAGGAGCATAGATTTGTGTGCTCTGGCAGGGCTTCTCCTACATCTGAAAAAAGTATACGGAATAAAGAAGTTTGCATTTAAAGTATGAGTTTGAGGGGCCGTTTTTCTAGCAACATAAAAATAGTAAGCTAATAGTGTTCAGTCTGTCCGGTTAAGCTAACTAAGCAGGTATATCGGTATCAAATCTAAAACCTAATCCAACTTACCAATACATGGAGGAGGCTCCCAAGCCATACAATTAAAAAAAAAATTAAAAAAAATGAAAAAAGGCCAGATACACTTTATAACCTGAAAAAACAAATGCCAAATCGTAAAAGGCAAGTAAACACACAAAGCATGTCACTGTTTAGATTTAACTATAATTACGAGCCCCTTTAAACAATGTCTAATATATACACATCTTATTGTAAAGCATAGGTTTAAAATATGGAAGCAAATATACCTGTCCAACAAATATATGTATTTTTCTTTTTGTGTCTCATTAGTGTATACCCTCAATGTGTCCCTATTTAGAAGGAACAGTCCCTATTTTGAACCCAGACTTCCCCTGTTCATTTTGTCTATCCTAATGTCCCTTTTTTTAGGACCTCCATATTGTTGCTGTTTCTGAGTGTATAGCAGAGCACCACATCAAAAATCCTCACAGTAAAGGATCTATAAACTAAAATGTGTTTAGAAATCAGTCTGTGTAAATCTTCTTGGTCGAAATTCCATTTTAATTGTATAAATGTGATTAGTAAGTCACCTGAAATATCTCAGATCAACCCTGACCCTTGCCACACTGCTAAAAATTAAAGTGTCCCTCTTTGTCCATCTGGAATGCTGGAAGATACATACAAGTAAGAGTAGAACCGATTTTTGCATCATAGTAAGTAATGCAACAGCATTTGAATATCATATAAACCTAAAATATGAATCCGTGTCTCTTATAGAAGGAGGAAATAATGCTATTGGAAGAGGATCAGTAACTCTAGTCAGGCCAATGACACTGTTAAATGTAGGAAAACATGGCGCCATATTTTTCATTTGGCTCATGAAACACATGAACACGAAACTGCATCAGGTCTAAACAGAATTCTAAACTCCCTTTCACAGCTTGGAAACAGCGTGAAAATGATTCATATTGCAGTAGCAGCACTAGAGGAAGGGATTAGATTGGCCTGGCAATCCTTATTATCAAAATCTGTATTCATGATAAGAATTTTTTCTTCTTCGTCTCACTGAAATATTAGCTGTAAAGCCATTAAATTATTTTATTGGTCTATTTTTGTAAGTGTCACAACCAATAGACCAAAATATTATAAAATGGAATATTTAGTTTCGGTGTTTTGTTCCTTCTAAAAGGATTTATACTTGTTGCAGTGATTTAAAGCTCTAAAGGTGGTGTTTCACCTATTCTGCTGAATAGAATACTTTTGAACTGAAATACAGCATTAGTGATACACCACATAAGGTAAATAATCCATCCAAGAGGTACAGACGGGAGTTTGTGTAGCATACAAGTTAGAAAATCTGAGTTACCAGGTAAAAAAAAAAACAATCAGTGTGGGAGGTGTAGAGTGGAATATAAAATGTTATCTTTGCAGGGATGTCATGTTAGAAGTCTGGCCTGATAACTAAATATCCCATAAACATATAGTCCAGAAGAATTCACTTGAGTTGTCTAGATGGAAATTAGATCAAGCAACATAGGAGATCAATCTGAGTTTAGTGATCACAGATAATCAAAGAGGTTATGAAACGGATGAGTTCAATCCAATCGTTGTTGTGTCCGAAGGCACAGGAACTTATAGTTAGAACAGAGCATCAAGTTGAGAGAACAAGTTAACACAATAACAATTGCAATGTGGCTGAGATGTCTAGCTTTTAAATAGCAAGATGTTAAGCATTATAACATTATTGTTCCAAAACCCCATTCAATATGTTTAACCTTTTATCTATCACAAACATGTAACAATTCTAACATGCTGCCATTCCTATTATTTTTCATTAACCAAAGCATGAACAAAACACATTTTCCCATGTGTGTTTTTCTTAATAAGTTGTAAGCTATTTATAGACTTGTATAATTTCTTTCAGAATGAACCAAATTTTGTCTGCGATTTGGCCAACTGAGCAATTCGAAAAAGCACCCAAATTTCCGAATCGCCACATCACAAAATGAAAATGAATGGGTTTGTGATGAAAATGAAAATAAAAGGATCGATTTGTTTTGGATCCATTACTTTTGATAAGGGTAGCAAGTTAGGGAGTTACTTACCAAAAATGTTATTTTGTTCTTTCAACTGTTTAGTAGATATCCTCCTAATTTGGTATCCTTAAAGGAACACAAGTCAGCATGACTCCATAACATGGGGGCATATGGCCTATATCCTTCAGAGTTTAGTATGGTGAGGGTAAATATACCTTGAAGAGAATGGAAATATCTCTTCCTCTTTCCCACTGTTATAGGATGGGAGTTTTATGGTGGACTAAAGAGTCTTTGAGCACCACTGATCAATTATTTAAGGATCTGGAATAAATACCCAGAGGTCACCTGTTTCCCTGATCCCAAGAGGTAAACCCCGCAAAAATATATTGCTGTGTATTGAATGGCACAATCTCTTCATCAACTAATCATTCAATATCATTCCCTTTCCATTGCATAACTATCCTTTCCCCAGCGTAATTAGAAGTGGCTGCCCATATCTAAACTCCCCTCTTGTAAAAATAAAAAAGGTCTGACAAAACTAAAATACAGCCCGTTGATATCTTCATGCTCAATTAAAAAGAACATCAACTACTTCCTAAGCAGGAGCTTCCTTTAACTCTCCTGAGAAAAGTCCTGCAATAAAGGGCTTATTGGCGGAGAGTGTCAGCTGATTGCTCTCAGCCAATGATGTAAGTCCTGCAAGCACTAATGGTTATAGTGCTTGGAATAATAATTAAATTTTAGTTGCCTAACATGAGTACTAGGTATATATTTTGTCCAGGAATAAGCATCTTTAATCTATAAATTATTTCAATAGAATTCAGCATTACAAGTGTTTTTATGTACCTTTGGTTGATTTTTCTTACTTTTGTGTCAGAGTTATTTTTTGGGAGCAAATCTATCTCTTATGTGTAATTCAAACATCCTTAGTTTTAATGCATATTCACAGCAGTAAAGGAATCCATGTAATTAATGTCATAGCAAAGCATCTGGGAATAGGAAACTCATAAATATCTTACATTTATATTTTGCTCTAATGTGATTACACAGCAGGGGGTTAAGACAGAGGGCTAAGTAATGAAACCTATATTACAAGTAGTAAAAGAGAGGTGGAAGATCATCGTTTGGAGAGTAATGGCCAAGGAGGAGTTTAATGATACACACAAGCTCTGGCTTTACCAAAACATCCTTTGTGTTTCATTCCAAATGCGTATGGTTTTGCTTTTTTTTTTTTTTTTCAACAGAAAAAAGGGCTTTTCTGGAGATGCTTATAGTAACATAATGTGCTTTTCACATCCTCCTGCCTCAGGCACAGTCCAGAAAGATATATGCATTATAAACCCAATACTCTCTGGCTTGTTCCAGAAGTCCCCAGACACACAGGGATCAGTTCCTACAGTGAGGGATGATAAAGGTAAGGAATTAATAGCACTGCCTCAAGGCAGCTTAAACAAAATATGGAGGCTTTTGCTTCTAAGTTTAACCATTTGTGTGCAATACATTTTAACACAAGGGGATAAATGTTACTGTCCATACTGTTTCGTTTAGATAATGCTTTCCGAATCCTGTAACATGGGGGAAATAGCAGCCTATTTTCTCACATGATATGGGGCTTCCAAATGACTAAGACAAATTGTGTATCTAAAACATTTTTAGTCTTATTGATCATAGTTCACTACATTACTGTCTCAATGTTTTTGGATTTGTATAGTCAACACAATGCCATATCCTATGATCATTTTCTCACTATATGTGTTTTTTTGCCCCAGGCTTAGGGTATGCTAAATTCTAACAAGGCATTGTAAAATGCCATTAAAGAAAAAGAGATTCTAGAACACGATGCATTTTCATTGAGACTCATTTCCCTGTATGTTTTGGACATGGCCCAACTTATTGTTGTTTAAGATTGTCCTCTCATTCAATAACTTGGATACTCTTTGAATGATTTTTAAAGATGCTTCATGGATCCTATATATGTTGCCCATGTGAGGGTGATGGAATACCATGCCAATATTCATATGGCTGTTTGGCAGTAGTGAATATTATTTATTTTATAAAAGTCTTCTCTCAGGTTGGAATATATCTAGTATGCAATCATGGGTGTTTATTTAAAGATAGATGAACTGAAGTTTTGTTTTTCAATAATACCGACCAGTTATCCATTGTAATATCTAATAAATTGGAGAAGCATGTATTATAGAGGACAAGGATAATACCCTGTCACGTTTGCAACCAATACAAAGGATATGGCTTTTTTCTTGTGCCTTTACATTTGCATCTCCATGGTTGTAACATCATAATTTAAATCTCTTGTGTTTATTGTTCATAAATGTCCTTAGTCTTCACAGATTCATGATAAAAGTCCAATATGATAATTGACTTCCCAATTATATATATCGTGTTGAGGCTTTTGGATGACTGAAGGACAAAGAATGTGGGTGCTGATTTTTTTGCAGCCATTTTTGTCTGCCGGTATAAACATTGGGGCAAGGATCTATCATTCAGATGTTATTCTAAAGAGTTTCTGAATCTTAAATTTGAGTGCTATCAAGGGGTTCATTATGTAAAACAGAAATATATATATATATATACATATATATATATATACAGGGTTCAGAATTTTCACTCACTAAGAGTGGGTACGGCATTGCTTGCAATTGGAAAAACGGTTAAGATCTGGCTCGTAGCGTAGGATCTTTATATTTTAAGACCTGGATATATATATATATATATTTATTCTGTTTATCATTGCTACTACTTTTTGCATCTTTGCAGACATGTTGTCCTTCGTTTACTTAAGCAAAGGGCATCTTTATGTTTTAAACATGTAGACACAAAAATATATTGTCTGTAGAATGAGTATACTCTCCGTAAAATGTAATTAGAAAGCTATACAGAAATGGGCATATTAAAATTCATTCCTTTGCTCTATAAGGTATATATAGGAGACCAGTGTTACCCAACGCACAATTTATTTTCACATGCTCTCTGTGACCTTGGGTAGCCTAAGAGTGGAAAAGCATTACTGAGCCCCAAGCGGTTTATCCAGGGTCAGAGGAGATGAGTGGTAATAAATCATTTATAGCACATACCTCATAAATTCTACTTATTGAACATTTTTTCTTGCTTTCTTTTAGCTTATTTTCCTTGCAGACAAACAGGAATATGAATTCTACAACATTTCTATTACATAAAAGGAAGTTATTGCTAAAACAAATAATAATCTTTACCATAGATACTAAACAGATGCTACCTACCATGCAAAGGTTTTATATTGTAGATGCAAAATAATTATATGCAGTTGGGTAGTGCTCATATTATTAATATTTTAGATGAATATTATTTATTTTACATACATATCTAAGAATTGATTGAGTTCAAGGAGTAGGGAAGGCCGTTAAATAACCTCATCTTTAGGTTGGCCATGACTGGCCTTTGACCCCAAAGTAATTACCAGGTTTCAATGTGCCTTATTGCTGCTTGGCACAACTTTTCCTTGCAGGACGGTAATGTTGCTTGGAACAACATTTCCTGTCAGGATAGTAAATGCCATTAATCACATTTTTATGTGCGGATGAATATGTGACAGGTTCACACCTTCTTTTCTTTGTCTTTTCTCCTCTTTTTTTGTCCTTCCTTCCTTTTCAGTTTTGATCAGCTGACTTTTATTGCTGCAAGATGACTTTGTATTAGTGATACAAACAGACAATTATGCAACATATTCTGAGATTGATGCTTTTTATTACATACATAGTGAATGCCTACTGTTAAAACTGTGAAAATAAAGATGAAAAAAAAGGACAGGAATTCCATGATATTACATTCATGCACATTCCCTATTTTTTTAGTGTATGGAGATATGGTAATATTTACATTGCAAGCCTAAACACACCTCTAGTGCAAACAGGAGAATGGAAATAGGAGAACATTGTTGTTAGGGTTCAAGCATCTTATTTTATATATTTAATGTCTCACTCAGTTCCTGCCTTGCTGATAGGAGGTCTGTGGGACTCCTAAAATAGAGATCTAACCTCTTTTGCACGTTGGGTGAGAGCACAAGGAAATATTGAACAGGTCGTTCATGCATGACGGTAGGTTTGTGAAAAATTCAAATTGATTGAATAGTCCTAATCCCAATGAATGAGAAAGGGAAATGTGGTCATAGATAAACTGCTCATCGGCACATCTGCTCAGTATTTAACTTAACCAGCACACCTCTATCAATGGAATAGACAAAAGGACTTCCCCTTACGTATCTGGCTAAACAATTTGTCTGTGATTTTCTTCTAAAAGTGAGTCATTGGCCTGCTGTTATAAATTGGGACTAATTGGTTTGTTCTTAAAGGAATGCTCCAAGCCCCATATCCCCCTATAGCCTGCCTGAAAACTTTCTGGGGTCCTCAGGATGCCCCCATTGCATCCTCTATAGTTGGAAGATCTTGCAAGGACCTTCTGTATCCTCCACAGAACGAAGGCCTGCTGAGCACTCTCAGGCAATCAGTCCCTTGCTGCACCTGTGGGATTAGCTCAGTGCAGGAGCTCATGGGGGCAGAGGAAGGTACTCCAGGTAAATTGTGAAACTGTTCTTATTAGAGATTCATGCATCTTCTTTATACCTTGACCATTGTCTTACCCTAACATTGTTCCAACTTTGTGAATAAAGATTGGAGACCTGCTGATTCCCACCATCCTAACACCTAGCATAGAGTTAAAAAGACAGTCGCAGCTTCAATAAAGGAACGCTATAATGTTTGGAATGCAAAATGATTATTCCTAAAGATATAGTGTTTTAGTCACCATTTAAGTGACTGCTCTTCACCGTGTGGGTTAAATCTTAATTCCACAATAGTTAACTTACCTTGCATCCTATGCTGTGCTGCTTTGCCTGCAACTGGTCCCGCCTCGGTAGCTAAGATCATCGAGATGCATAATCTCAAACAATCCAATGCTTTCCCACAGGAAATTATTGGGAGTCTAGTGCACTAGTCAGATGGTCTCTCTGAGATCCACTATTTTATGGAAGTGCCTCTAGTGCCTGTCAGTATAACAGTCACTAGAGGTAGGTCAACCCTGCAAAGAACACATTGCCGTTTCTGCAGAACGTTTTCAGTTGAGGGGTTAAACTGGGGATATATGGCAGCCAAACCACTTCATTGAGATGACATGGCCTGAGTGCTTGCAGTGTCCCTTTAATACGAAGTATTTTCTCTGCAAAAAATATAGCCATTGTTTATACAGACCCCTTACAGTTTTCTTTTAAAATCACATTTATATTTGAAAACAATTTGCTAAATTTTTAACATCATAAAAGCACATCAGAACACTTGAGCCCCAATTTAAAACATTCTCCAAATAATTCAATACAGTTAGGAAAACATTTCATATAACTAATCTACAGAAGTCACCATTAATATATATATATAAATATATTTTTGTAGATAACTATTTCTAATAGTATTGAATCATTTGGAAAGCTTATTAAATCGTGGCCATAATTGGCATATGTCAGTTAAGAGCTTAATAACTGACAGCAGTTTGAAAAGCATATACCTAACCTTTTTAGTGCATTTTTCCATGTATAAATAAATGCTTTATATTCAAGCAATATAAATGGAAGCAGTACAAGTGCATAACTATATTACTATTTAATTAGAAGGCATTAGACCTGAACATGGCTGACAATTATTGTAATTTGTTGCATATAATTACAAGTTCTGCTGGGCTGCAGAAATAGAATTAGAAGACATCTGTTAATTGTGACACCCTCGTACAGGTGAACCTGCAGACATTTAGTCATGATTTGACATTAAAAAGATACATACATGTTATCATTATTTCAGATGCTGGTAAAACAATTCCACACAACTACATCGAATAATCACTAAAATGTTAAAGATAATTTTTAGGTGGAATATACTTAGACAGTGTTTTTTTTCTTTTTCTCAAATGTTTTCTTATTAAATACATCATGTTAAACTGGTATTAGTCGATCCCATTTTTGTTTAGTAGTAGACCATGTAAGACATAGAATGCCTTAACTATGGGCTGGGGAAATTAGTTTAACCCAATGCTAAATAATGGAACAATCAAAACAAAAGATCAGAATACTATGAGTGTCATCAAAATGAATAGACTGGTCATGTACAAACTCATTTCTATCAAGCTTGTAAAGGAGAGAAAACAAAAAGTATGGTCAATTAATTCCTACCGAAAAACTAACAATCTGTTACTTGGTGCTTATAACAAGTACGACTACTTTGACCACACAGAGGTCTTTTAAGGCTTGAAAAGAAAATGTTATATTTTCTGTTTTATTTGTATTTTTTTGCTTTTTTAATCTCGTATACATAAGACAGAAGCTTGTATCTATCTATCTATCTATCTATCTATCTATCATGTACTACTTACAAAGTA